CTGCCTCAGCCTCCCAAGTAGCTGGGACTACAGGTGCCCACCACCATGCCCAGCTAATTTTTTTGTATTTTTAGTAGAGACGGGGTTTCACCATGTTAGCCAGGGTGGTCTTGATCTCCTGACCTCGTGATCCACCCACCTCGGCCTCCCAAAGTGCTGGGATTACAGGCATGAGCTACCGCCCCTGGCAATATATCAGGAATTCTTAAAACCAGTAAGAAAAAGACAAACATCCCAATAGAAAAGTAAGCAAAAGACTTGAACAGATATTTTACAGAAGAAATGGTGATGGAAAAAACTTCTTCACAAACTTTCAAGGCTTCAAACTTGGCTACATAAAAATTAAGGAGTTTTATTCGATGAAGGACTTCATGGACAAAGTCAGTAGAAAGTTGAAAAAAACAGGAAACAAAGATCTTTTCGGCTGGGCTCAGGGGCTTACACCTGTAATCCCAGCACTTTGGGAGTCCGAGGTGGGAGGATCACTAGAGGCCAGGAGTTCCAGACCAGCCTGGGCAACATGCCGAAACCCCACCTCTACTGAGTAGTAGTCCCAGCTACTCAGGAAGCTGAGATGAGAGGATGGTTTGAGCCCAGGGAGGTTGAGGTTGCAGTGAGCCATGACTGAGCCACCGCACTCTAACCTGGGTGACAGAGTTGAGACTCCATCAAACAAAACAAAACAAAACAAAACAAAAAAACAAAAACTCTTTTCGATGGCTGAAATGATTGTGAGTAATTAATATAGTGACTATGTAAGGGACGCATGACAAACCAACAAGAAAAAGACAAGGAACTCTATAGGGAGATGGGCAAAAGATATGGATGGGCAATTTACAGAAAGGGAAGTATTTGTACAACATTTTAAAGTATTCACAGAGATGAAATTAAGACAGTGAGATGTCACTTTACACTCATCAGAATGGCAAAAAAAAAAAAAAAAAAAAGTTGGATAATGATAAGGGTTGGCAAAGACGAGGAGAGACTTGAGTCCTCCTGCACTGCTGCTGGGATTTTCAACTGGCGCAACCTTCTGGAGAGTAACTTAGCAGGGCTCAGTAAAATTAGGTATGCACTTACCTTGAGATTCAGTGATTCCAGCCCTAGGTCAATAGAGACACTCTTACCTGTATCCATAAGAAGATCTGAATGAAGATATATTTTGAAAAGTTTTATTTATTTATTACTATTATTATTATTATTTTTGAGACAAAGTCTCACTTACTCTGTTGTCCAGGCTGGAGTGCTGTGGTGCAGTCTCAATTCACTGCAACCTCTGCCTTTCCGGCTCAGGTGATTCTCCTGCCTCAGCCTCCCAAGTAGCTGGGACTACAGGCACGTGCCACCATGCCCGGCTGATTTTTTGCATTTTTGGTAGAGACAGGGTTTTGCCGTATTGGCCAAGCTGGTGTCAAACTCCTGACTTCAGGTGATCCACCCACCTCGGCCTCCCAAAGTGCTGGGATTAGAGGCATGAGCCACCGTTATCAAAAGTTTTAAAGTTTTACTTTTCACTTTTAAGTCTTTCATTCATCTGGAATTAATTTTTATTAATTCTGGTATAAGGCAGGGATCCAATTTAATTTTTTCCATATGGATATCCAATTATCTCAGCACTATTAATTGAATACTCCCTCCTTTCCCCAGAGATCTACAATGCCAGCTGTGTTAAATTTCAAATTTCTATTTGAAATTCTATTTGAGTGAGAATGATTTTGGACTCTCCATTCTGTTCCACTGGTGAATTTGTTCATTCCTACACGTATACCATACCTATCTTTATTATTACAGTTTAACAATAAGTCTTGATTTCTGGAGATTTATCTCCCCGTTGGGCTTTTGCTCTTCTATATAAATTTTGGAATCGATTTTTCAATTTCCTTTGAAAACGATCTTATCTTGCCTCTGGAGGAGTTTGCTGGAATAGTTCATTCCTTGACATTTTGGTATATTTCTGTAAAACCATCTGAGTCTGGTGTTTTCGTTTAAGAAAAAAAAGCTAAACTATTGGCTGGGTGCAATGACTCACACCCGTAATCTCAGCTTTTTGGGAGGCTGAGGTGGGAGGTGGGAGGATCCCTTGAGGCCTTAGAACTTATTAACCATGCTCTTCAAAAAACGATTATCTCCCTTATTTCCATCTAACTGATCTATCAGTTTCTGGAAGAGGTTTGTTAAAATCTGCAACTACAACTGTTCATTTATATATATTTTCCATGTATTCCTATCAGTTGTTGCTTTATATCTTTTGAAGCTATATTGTTAGGTACATATATATATATATGTATTTGTTAACATTATATCTTCTTGATTGTCTCTTTTATTTGTATATAATGTCCCTCTCTATTTCTCATGCTTTTTACTAAAATCTTATATCCTTTTCTTTCTGATGTTAATGTTAATAGTTTAGGAATCCCTTTAAGAGTTCTTAACCTATATTTTGCTATAGACTGTGTTGGCAACCTGGTGAGGCCTAAGAGTCCCGTTTTTTTTTGTTGTTTGTTTTTGTTTTTTTTTGAGACAGACTTTTGCTCTGTTGCTCAGGTTGGATGGAGTGCAGTGGCATGATCTTGGCTCACTGCAACCTCTGCCTGCCTGGTTCATGTGATTCTCCTGCCTCAGCCTTCTGAATAGCTGGGACCACAGGCGCGTGACACCATGCCTGGCCAATTTTTGTATTTTTAGTAGAGACCGGGATTTCACCACGTTGGCCAGGCTGGTCTCGACCTCCTGATCTTGTGATCTGCCCACCTTGGCCTCTCAAAGTGCTGGGATTACAGCACTTTGGGAGGAGTGAGCCACAGCACCTGACTCTATGAGTCTATTTTTAAAATAATGGTTTTATTTTATTTTATTTCACTTTTTTGAGATGGAGTCTCACTCTGTCACCCAGGCTGGAGTGCAGAGGCACGATCTCTGCTCACTGTAACCTCCACCTCCTGGGTTCAGGTGATTCTCCTGCCTCAGCCTACTGAGTAGCTGGAATTATAGGCACATGCCACCACGCCCGGGTAATTTTTGCATTTTTAGTAGAGACAGGGTTTCACTATGTTGGCCAGGCTGGTCTCAAACTCCTGACCTCAGGTGATCCACCAGCCTTGGCCTCCCAAAGTGTTGGAATTACAGGTGTGAGCCATCGCGCCTAGCCAAAATAACAGTTTTTTTGTTTGTTTTTGTCTTTTATTTTATTTTTTTAACATTCCTATTTATTTTATTTTTACTTCAAAGGCTACATACATGCAAAAGTTGAACATGTCATCACACATGCTTTAAATAAAGTTCAAAAAATAAAAATACTTCAAAATCCATTTATTTATGGACATATATATGACAATTATAGTGAAGTCAATGATATCCTTTTTTCTAATCTATCAGAAAAATATTTATATTATAAAAAAGAGTTTTAATTCGTGTCCAGAATAATTTTTTAAAATTCTTGAGTCATAATTTTAAAACAAGTTGAACGTTAGCACAATGTTTGGAGAAACAAGTCCCAGGATTTTGCTAATGGGATCTGATATTCTCATACTTCATTTTGAAATCACTAAGGAAACTCAAGTTTAGGGGGAAAAAAAAGCATTTTAAAAAACCTATGACGATAAGTATTCTGGCTGAGGTGGTTACTAACCAAGTGAAGGGCATGACGTCTATAAACAGATAATGTTCAAAGTCCTTTAAAATGTTTGAATGGAGATTTTTATCTACAAGCACATAGTGAAGGCTTAAAGTAGCCTTGAGTCTCTCTGCTGGTCAACACTGCAAGAGGAATTAAAAATCCCAGGTACAGTGAAGTTCTGAGCGCACCGCCCTTTTGAAAAATGTGTGAGCAGACACTAGCTCCCGTGACTCCAAAAACAAGCCAACTAGGGGAAGTGTCTCCGAATGGCCTTGCCCTTTATCAGGCAAAAGCAGCAAAAGGCTTGGCAAAGTCAGGAGAGGGAAATCGGCGTATTCTGAGCAAGTCTCCATGGTCCAGAGGATGACCATTTCCTTCTAATAAAACCAATTATTTCTTTGGTAGCATAATACAATGTATATCAACAATCCCAATAACTAATATGAGCAGAATGCACTCAAAGTTCAACTTTGTAAATGTTCACATGCATCCTGGAAATGAGACGTAACTTCCTGCACCTACATGAAAAAGGGTGGGGACAGCTGCCCAGGCTGGAGGACTACTGATGATGAGAAATGACACACAACGTGAGCAGGGAAAACGATCATTTAACAAAATGTGTTAGCGTTGACTGGGAAAGCCCTGAGTGGATAAACACACCCGAACTTTGCAAGGAGCTTAATCCAAACAATTAAAATATCACCTTCTCTTTAAATCATAAACATCAGGTTTCCTATTGGGAGAAATCCCTTGCTACTACTCTAAGCCTTTGGTTGAAAAGGCCAAATTAAAATTCTGATTAGAAATGTTTTTACAAAGGGTCCAAAGACTTAGAGCTTGATTAATATCCTGATACTAAATTGTGATTATAGTTTTCATGTTAGGCAATCCAACTATTATTTCCCTTTTATCCAACTATTATTTTCCTTTTATCGCTAAAAAAAAGTTTTAAAAAGGAAAATTAAAGATTTGAGTGCAATCAGTGTAAAATCAGATTAAGTATGGTTTTTCTTTTCCCTGGGACAGAAAAAAACAATGCCCAGCTCACAGTATATAGGAATATGTCACAACAAATAATCAGAAGACAGGTTTCTCCAAGCTAGTATTCCTCCTTGTACAGTGTGGTATTCAAAAGCAGTATTGTCACGATTATGCATTTTCTCATTAACTAGGTACAGCAGAACTACTTAAAGGGAAACCGATTTCTCATGCCTCAATGAAAGGGGAGTGTAGAAAACAATAATTAGGCTGAATAAGGAATTTTAAAGGGCACACACAAAAAAAATTCAGAGTGAAAAGAACAGAGAATTTAGAAAGCCAAAAAAAAAAAAGGTTTTTATTTTTTATTTTTTTGTTTTTAAAAAAGCAAGTAATGTGACAGTAGAAACCTACACAATCTCCCCCAACCCCACCTGCCACTTTGAGTCCTAATTGCCCATCTGCAAGGACAGAAACCCACTCTAAATTGACCAGCATCGGCTTCTGCAAGTCTTCTCTTCACTCCCCCTCCTTGTAAGACCGATTCCAAAACCCATCAGCAAAGGACAAAGAATTCTTTACAGAGTGCAATTAGTGTTTTCCACGTCCACCTTCAAAAGCATGATGCTCTTCATGGGGTTTATAAAATACTGCTTTAAAAGTTATGTGGGCCCAGCACTTTCGGAGGCCGAGACGGGCGGATCACGAGGTCAGGAGATCAAGACCATCCTGGCTAACACGATGAAACCCTGTCTCTACTAAAAAATACAAAAACAAAAACTAGCCGGGCGAGGTGGCGGGCGCCTGTAGTCCCAACTACTTGGGAGGCTGAGGCAGGAGAATGGCGTAAACCCGGGAGGCGGAGCTTGCAGTGAGCTGAGATCCGGCCACTGCACTCCAGCCTGGGAGAGCAGAGCGAGATTCATCTCAAAAAAAAAAAAAAAAAAAAAAAAAAAAAAAAAGTTATGTGGGGCAGAAGTTCATAGATCTTTAAAACAGTGGCTTCACCCACTAAGAAAAAAAAAAAAAAAAAAAAAAAAAAAAAAAAAAAAAAAAGTTATGTGGGGCAGAAGTTCATAGATCTTTTCTAAAACAGTCGCTTCACCCACTAAAGAGGCATTTACATTCCAGACTTGGACGACGTCTTCTCGGTCCCGAACACTGACACTAACTCCTATTACTTCGTCATCTGCTGCAGCACAGTCTGTGAACTGTTTCTCGATGGTTGCTAACGGCAACTCTTTCCAAACTGTGGACGTGCTGTCCTTGGGGACTTTCATCTTCCATACGCAGCCCTTTGCGTTACTCTCCTCTTTCCAAAGTGGTCGCCTCTCTCCTCTCATTAAATGATAACTGCATCTCAAAGGCAGGCTAGTCACAGGAGGGATATTATTGTATACACTCCAGAATATCTGTACTGTCTGTACTGTGTAGATTTTCTTCAGATTTCATGCGCACTCAGCTGCTGTGGCACCAGGGAGGGATCTGTCGAGCCAGAAGGTCCAGGGCGAGTGCAGCGGGACCGCGCCTGGTTTGGGGTGCAGCACCGACAGCTGCTGCAGGCCCAGAGGCGGCTCGGGGGCGGCGGCCGTCTTTTTTTTTTTTTTTTTTTTTTTTTTTTAAGACGGAGTCTCACTCTGTTGCCCAGGCTGGAGTGCAATGGTGTAATCTCGGCTCACTGCAACCTCTGCCTCCTGAGTTCAAGTGATTCTCCTGCCTCAGCCTCCCAAGTAGCTGAGATTACAGGCGCCTGACACCGTGCCCGGCTAATTTTTGTATTTTTAGTAGAGACAGTGTTTCACCATATTGATCAAGCTGTTCTCGAACTCCTGACCTTGTGATCTGCCTGCCTCACCTCCCAAGGTACTAGGATTACAGGCATGAGCCACCGCACCCGGCCAAAATAACAGTTTTAAATGCACATAATTATAAGGCAAAACAATTGTATTGAAATAGCTATCAGAATAGTTAAAATATTTGTGATATTATATTGCATGTACTTATTTTTTAAAATTTTTTTATTTTTTGAGACAGAGTCTTGCTTTGTTGCCCAGCCTGTAGTGCACTGGTGTGATCTTGGCCCACTGCAACCTCTGCCTCCCTCATTCAAGTGATTCTTGTGCCTCAGCCTCCTGAGTAGCTGGGATTACAGGGATTTGCCACCACGCCCGCGTAATTTTTGCATTTTTAGTAGAGATGAGGTTTCGCCATGTTGGCCAGGCTGGTCTTGAACTCCTGGCCTCAAGTGGTCCACCTGCCTCGGCCTCCCAAATTGCTGGGATTATAGGCATGAGTCATCATGCCTGGCCTGTCATGCATATATTTATTGACGGTTATAATTATTCCCTTTCTTCCTCTACCATTTTGAATAATGTGATTTGTTGGTAGTAAAGTTTACAATTTAATGTATAGATTATAGGATAACAAGATGGGATTGTGACTAAACCAGAGAAGAAGTGAACATCACCCAAGTTCCCGGCAGTGGGAGATGGAAGCAGTAACTGCTGGGGCTTTGGATGTCCCTGTCTGAGCAAAGAATACGAGTGTTTCTTGTTTGATTGAGGTGCGTTTGCATTACTGTGGGTGGTAACATGTTGTGGTTGTCTCATGGAAGTTTAAGAAGGGAATGCAGGTTGGAAATGGAAGTTGAGTAACCAAGAGTGAATGGACTGTGGCAAGGTCCGAAGATGACCCCACTCAGCCCCTCTCCAAACCTCTTTCTTTCCATCATGACTTCTTGAACTTTAGAGCCTGGATGGTTAGAGAGGACATTTCCAGACTCTCATGCAGCTGGGATTTCCACATGTCACCTGGCTTCTGCCAGGAAAATGCAAACAAACCAGAAAGGGAAGGCACTGAGAGGAAGTGGCCACACAGCTCTTCTGGTTGCATCGTGGTGGAAGCATTTCGGTTCTTCTGAGGCGGCTGCAGCAGAGGCCCTAGTTCCAGATCAACTCCTGGCTTCCGGGTGCTAAGCAGGTGTCAGCAGCTTCGTGACTTGGAGCCTCCTGTACTGCAACATGGGTAGCGAGGGTCTTGAGTCAGCAGCAGTGGCAGAAGCTCTCCAGCTAGGCTCATTTTACAGTGAGATTCAGGGGTTATTCCTGGAAGTTCAGCCTAGAGTTGGCCTCTCAACCCTTCCAACGTGTCTGAAACCAACCCGACCACCCTCGTCAACCCATTCTGGTTAGGCCAGCTGGGTGGACACTGTTGTCTGCAGTGGAACCCTGACCAATCACTATATTTTATTTTTGTTTCTCCCTCACCCCCTCTTTTTCTGCCTTTTATTACATTGACACTTTTCCTTCTACTCATTTGAAAATTATTCCTTTTCTTTTTCTTTCTTTAATGGTTAGCCATAATTATTGTTTGTATTTATGTTAATTTCCCCTGTCAATTTCTGAAGTTTATCGACATACATAATTTCCTTCTCAACAAGACAGCACCTTAGCATATTCTCACTTCCTCTGGCCACTGCCACTCTACTACCAAATAGGTTTTCTGTGGTCCTCCCAGGGAAAGGGCTGAGGAGGGAGGGAGAGAGGGAGGGAGGCAGCAACCTTGCTGGTTGTGATATTGTCAAGAACTGGAAGTGTATCATTCCTAACTCACATTTTTACCTCTTTAAAAAATTGTGCTGTTCAGGCATGGTGGCTCATGCCTATAATCCTAGCACTCTGGGAGGCCAAGGCAGGAGAATCACTTGAGTGCAAGAGTTCAAGACTGGCCTGGGCAACACAGGGAGACCCTGTCTCTACAAAAAATTTAAAAACTAGCTGGTGTGGTGGTGTGCACCTGAAGTCCCAGCTACTCAGGAGGCTGAGGCAGGAGGATCACTTGAACCTGAGAGGCCGAGGCTGCAGTGAGCCTTGATTGTGTCACTGCACTCCAGCCTGGGTGACAGAGTGAGACCTTGTCTCAAAAAATAAGTAAATAAATAAATAAAAGTGTGCTGAAGAACAACATATATCCATAGGTATCATGTAAGGATATTAGCAAACTGGAAAGCCAATGCTTATTTAATGGGGCATGGTTCAGTTACTTTTCCAAAGACCTTGGAATCAAATTTCTACTGCCTTTTCTGTGTATACATTCAACAATTCAACACATATTTATTGAGTAACTACTCTGTGCCAAACACTGTTGTATGCTTTTAGGATGCATCGGTGATCAAAGCAGGCAAACATTCCTGCCATCAAGCTTACCATCTTTTTTTTTTTTTTTTTAATTTTTGAGAAGGAGTCTCACTCTGTCACCCAGCCTGGAGTGTAGTATCGAGATCTTAGCTCACTGCAGCCTCCACCTCCTGGGTTCAAGCTATTCTCCTGCCTCAGCCTCCCAAGTAACTGGGATTACAGGCACATGCCACTACACCTGGCTAATTTTTGTATTTTTGTAGAGATGGGGTTTCAGCATGTTGGCCAGGCTGGTCTTGAACTCCTGACCTCGAGTGATCCACCTGCCTCGGCCTCCCAAAGTGCTGGGATTACAGGCGTGAGCTACTGCACCCAGCCAAGCTTACTTTCTAACAGGGGAGAAAGGTCATAAAAATGAACATAATAAATACGTACGTTATAGAGTGTGTAAGGAGGTGATAAGTTCCATGGAAAAAAGGGATAAGTAGGCAGGGTTGGGGGACAGATAATGCTGTGGGAGAGGAGCAGATCACGGTATTCAGTCAAGTAGTCAGTGTGGGCCTCATTGAGAAGAAAACACTTGAAGCAGGTGAGGGGGTGAGCCGAGCAGATATCTAGGGAAGGGTGCTCCCAGCAGAAGGGACAGCCACAGCAAGGGCCTTATATCCTGGAGCAAGCCTGGTGCCTCTTATCTTATTTTAAATATGCTATTGAGAAGCACTCTCTCTTTTTTTGTCTGGAATCCAGGACCTCAAATTTCTGCTTCTGGCCGGGCGCAGTGACTCACGCCTATAATCCCAGCACTTTGGGAGGCTGAGGCAGGTAGATCATTTGAGGTAAGGAGGTCACGACCAGCCTGGCCAACATGGTGAAACCCCGTCTCTACTAAAAATACAAAATTAGCTGGGTGTGGTGGTGTGCGCCTGTAATCCCAGCTACTCGGGAGGCTGAGACAGGAGAATTGCTTGAACCTGAGAGGCAGAGGTTGCAGTAAGCCGAAATTGCACCACTGTATTCCAGCCTGGGTGACAGAGCAACTTCCGTCTCAAAAAAAAAAAAAAAAAAAAAAAATCTGTTTTTCAAAACTATACAAGCAAGTATATATTACATATGCTTAATTAAACACCAAGCAAGTGTTGGCCATTACATTTTAAGGTATGTTTCTAGCACTAATGGGCTAGATACTGTCCATTGGCACCTGACCTTCATTCTGACCCCTCCTATGGTCTGACCTCTATTGCAGAGGCTAAATGACTATCAACTACCCTTTCTGGACTCCCTTGCTGCTAGGGTCTGGAAGAGATGTAGTTCTTGCCAATGAGACTCACTCACATGATATATGGAAGCTTCACATGAGACTGAGGCTATCTCCTTTGATAATGATAGCTGTTAAGCTGCTGCTGCTTCTTTTCTTTTCTTTTTTTTTTAAGATATGGGGTCTTGCTCTGTCATCCAGGCTGGAGTGCAGTGGTGCAATCACGGGGCTCACTGCAGCCTCGAACGCCTGGGCTTGAGTGATCCTTCCACCTCAGCCTCCAGAGTAGCTGGGATTACAGCATGTGCTACTACGCCTGGTTATTTTTCTTTTTCTTTTTTTAATAGGCTGCATCTATGTTACCTAAGCTGGTCTCGAACTCCTGGCTTCAAGACATCCTTTGGCTTCTGCCTCCCGAAGTGCTAGGACTACAGGTGTGAGCCACCATGCCCAGCCTCTTTTCTTTATAAATTATCTAGTCTGTGATGTTTTGTTATAGCAATACAAAACAGACTTAGACAACTTCTTTTAAATTTCTGAATCAGAAAAAATAGAGAATATCCTGAAATAGCAAGCAAACTGTTCACAAATAACCTTAGTAGATGCTTTTCTGTGAGAATGAGGATTTGCTTGATACCAGCCATTTATACAAAACACAGGCATCAAATGGATGCTTGAAGTGGCAGTAACATTGAAGTAACCTCTGTGACCTCCAACTTCAAATAAAAACAAAAAAGCGCTCAGCCTCATTATTCTCCATGACTGACTTTAGAATAAATAAGTTTATAAAATTTAACCAAAAAGACATGTGCATTAATAACATCTTGCTCTTTTCTGTTTTATATATTGGGATTACCTATAATTTTAATTTTATTTGAAAAACGTGTTTTCTTGTTTTTTGGTTTTTTTTTTTGAGATGGAATTTCAAGCCCAGGCTGGAGTGCAGCGGCATGATCTCAGCTCACCACAACCTCCGCCACCTAGGTTCAAGTGATTCTCCTGCCTCAGCCTCCCGATTAGCTGCAATTACAGGCATGCGCCACCAGGCCCGAATGATTTTGCACTTTTAGTAGAGACAGAGTTTCTCTATGTTGGTCAGGCTGGTCTCAAACTCCTGACCTCAGGTGATCTGCC